GGTTTGGACTTGGTGGCTGTGTTTGGAGCTGCAATGCAACTCAAAAAATATTGCCATATAGTTGATAGCCCAAATAAATCAATAGGTAACTCAGGTAAATATCATCTGTCTAGCAGAACCACCATAAGTCACATTTCCTTAAGAAAAAAAAACTAACAATCAATATCAAGAGATACCACTTAAATAATCAATATGANCGCAATGCAACTCAAAAAATATTTCCATATAGTTGATAGCCCAAATAAATCAATAGATAACTCAGGTAAATATCATCTGTCTAGCAGAACCACCGTAAGTCACATATCCTTAAGAAAAAAAAACTAACAATCAATATCAAGAGATACCACTTAAATAATCAATATGAAAAACATTCATCACCATAATATTTGACCAATCAAGAACAAACAACACCCAAACATTTGTAAAGGCATGGGCATTAGATTGACAACAAACAATAGTTGTGAGGGTAACTTTGCAATTCCAATGAAAGAATGCACTTTTGTACAACATAAGATAATTTAGAATGCAGGAAGAACACTACCAAGGAAAATTTCTAAATAACTCATGATTCTTTATGCTATTTAGTAGAAAATCAAATAGTTGGTATGCACTTTCAAATTCCAAATTCAATTATTCTACCATAAAAATATGCTAGCATCACTTCATCAACTCCAAGCAAACAAACATTACTCAATTTCAAAACCAAAACAATCAAATAGACCACTAAAAACTATAAGCACGTTCAATGACACTTAAAAACCAAATGAACAATTATATTTCAAATTATACTCAATCTCAATTGGGTTTGTTGTTCTAGTGTATGCTGAGGTAGTTGTGTTTCTACAAATGGATTGGAATGGTTAGTCGGTGAAGTAATGGTAAAGTTGAATTAGTGACATATTAGCTTATGATGCAACACGTTTAAGTAATGGAAAAACCCAAATTTTTCATCAACATTATTGAGCAATCCAGATGTAGCACAATCCTAATGAGTGTCAGGAGCAACAATATCTTGAAAGTCCATCTGCAATTGATACTCCTACCAGCACACATACAACCTGAAAACTGTGTTATATGAACAACAAACATGTGCATCTTTACATATGGAACAGAATAATGAGGTTGTGCATCCCTGCATTGCGGCAACATATGTATATGTGCATGTGTGAAAAGAATTCCAACCCATTTATAGCCTATAGCAGCAACATTCATGAACAAAAACACAATTCAAACAGTCAAACATGTATATGTTCATTTGTGCATGGGTTTTGGGTATGTAATCAAATAGGACAATCAGGCAAACAATAGCTCTAGTCAATAATGCCACAATTTTCACATTGAGTTGTTATGAGGCTGATAGGAACCAATTAGATTGTTCCTTACAATCCCTTTTTTGCAAAGATAAAGTTGAATAGGTACCTATACATTGCAATTACCTACTCCCACTATTGCAATAAATAAGAGAGAGTTGCTATGGACAATCTAACACCATTGTTTCATTGAGTAATGAACATGGAGGACCAAGAAAGAACAAATTAAAAAAAAAGTATATAGAAGTAATTCAAAAGGAACTTACAGGCCAAACATGTTGAATAGGTACCTAGCAATTTTGTATCAGTAACAACTCCATTCGACATGCCCAAGGACAAACAAACAAACATATAAGCTCCATTCCAAACAACAACTCTTAAGAATACTTTCTTCTTCATTTTCTTCCGTTTCTAAATGAAATTAGCAAAGCCAAACACGCACAGTGTATAGTTTTAAGTTCAAGAGCATATCATATCTATAATTTTAGTCTTAATCAATCAACAAACACTTAAAACCAAACTATGTAGGTCAAAATTTTACACCAAATAGCTTGTAAGGGAAAAATAAGCCTCTTGATCAAAAATTTGGTTTTAAAATGGAGAGAAATTATTCAAAATCCATTGTCCCAAATTTGAAAGCTATAAACCATGGCGAGAAATTATTCAAAACAGCAAGACCTAAATTAAATTAGGAGTAATATAAGAATCAAACCTTCGCCCTTCATAAAGCCATCGTTGCAACACTGTACACAATTCACATGATTGTCATTGTTGCAACATCCGTTGATATCATAGAAATCATCCCCTGTGTAACAAACACAATGCTCTTCAAGCAATCACCAAATTAAAATCTCTCTCAAGCACATATACAAACACATAGGCTACACACAGAAACACACGAGGCGGGAAATCAAATAAACACTAGATCCACAATGATTAGCAAAGCCACTGGCTTCGGCGGTAGCCAATCCCCTCTCTTTCCTTGACATCATATGTTCAAATGTATTGATTAATACATGCTCAAACACACCATACAACACTCAATTACATCAAACTGGGAAAGTTTTTAAAAGAAAACAAAGTTAGAGAGAGAGAGAGCATACTTGAAGAAGATCAAAGTTATTACTGAATTCTGAAGGTATAAGTCTTGTTATTATACTGCGGTTGTTCTTTAGAGGTATGCGACATGCGCTTAATTTTCAGAGCACATGGTAACATACAGGTGATGGTAGAATTTCAAAGCATAAAGCAATACAGGAAAATAAAACAACCAAAAAAGTTAGACCAACAAAATAAAATGTGCATATTTCTTTGGCTAATTTTGTTGAACACGTGAGATACAAAATTTTGGCAACTGATTGAACTAATCTGCAATTGAGGTAGGGTGGGATGAGGTAGCGTGAGGTGGTGGTGCTAGTTGCGTAGGCAGGGGGTTGCGGTTGGGAATGGGGTGGGCAGTGGCGCCGTACGAATGGCTCTAACATAGCTGGCAGTGGATGGGTATCGACTATTGAGAGAGAAAGAGAAAGAACAAAGAGAGAGAGTGTGTGTGAGTGAATGAGTGAGTGAGAGAAAAATATGTACGTGGGCATCAGCGTTGGCTGGGCTGTGACTTTGCTGGTAGAGGATAAGCAACGACACAAAGATTAGTAGAAGAGCGTGTGAGTGAATGAGTGAGATTTGAGATTGGGAGAAGATTTGAGATGGATTTCATGTGATAGAGGCATGATAGATTGGGAGAGGGAGACAAAAGTGAGAGAGAGAGAGGCAGAAGTGAGAGAGAGAGGTGGGCGGAAAAATAAAATTCGGTAATCATTGTACACCGTTAAATCAAAATTTATGAGATGATCTGAACCGTCTTTTATGTTTGAATTATGTTGTCCGTCGGATGTTTTTATGTTTTTACTCAAAAACGATCTAAATTTCTCTTTGTCTCTGGATGCAAACTTAGCTCTACTTTATTATATAGATTATTCTTGAACATTTGTACATCTAAATATATTATTCTATTTTTTGTCAAATAAATTGACTAAATTGTTAAGTATTGTTTGTATTATAGTATTGTGATATTGTTACATACAAAAAAAAATCAAATATGACTGCAAAACTTGGCCAACAACATGTATATAACAATATTATATAGATTGAACTTTATTTGTTTATATAAATAGATATAGATATATAAATTATATGTAAGTGTACTACTAATAAATGACTGCACAAAAATTTAGAAATCAAATACTATTAATGAAAGAGTTTAAACGAGTTTAAAATTCAAAATTAAAAATCAGATGAAAGTAATATGTGGATAGAATTGACTTTTATAAGTAGTATAAAAGTATAGATATAAATATAGATATAGATTTATGTGGGTAAATTAAAAAATCAAAATTTTATTTTGCAGATCCCGACATTTATTAATTATTAATAGTATAGAATAAAAGTATAAATATAAATATAGATATAGATTAAATAAATTGTATAACCTTTTTTAATACTTTCCTTTTTCACAATTTTTGACGTGGAGTAATTTGAAAAAAATTGTTCGTGAGGAGTGCTTATAAATGTTGGGTTGTCAGGGTGGCGATTAAGAACGTTGGGTTTGACACGGGCAGGCAGTCTTCTAAGATCTGCCCCATTTCTTCGTCGAAGTAAGCCCTCTACACTAATCATTTAAGATCTTGATTTTTCTTCATCCATTTATGTATATTGGCATACTCATTACACATACGTGGTTTTAGATCTGGATATACGATTGGATCTGAATCGGTTTTTTCTTTGTTTTATCAATTTGAGGTTCGTTTCCGTTGTTGATTTCCTTGTTTCTACGGAAGATCGTGTTGTAATCGAACCGATAAGCAATGATCCGTTAATTTGAAGTGCCATGATAGTTTTGATTCAGGGGACCGTAGATCTGGATCCGAATCGGTTTTTCATTGTTTTATCAATTTGAGGTTCATTTTAGTTATCGTGTTGTAATCGAACTGATAAGCAATCGATGGACCGGTATTTTCTTATTGATCTGTTAATTTGAAAAGCCATTATAGTATTGATTCCTGGGACCGTAGATCTGGATCTACGATTGGATCTGAATCTGTTATTTCTTTGTTGTATCAATTTGAGATTCATTTTCGTTGTTGCTTTCCTTGTTTCTACGGAGGATAGTGTTGTAATCAAACCCATAAGCAATCGATGGGTGGTATTTTCTTATTGATCCGTTAATTTGAAGTGCCAGTTTTGATTCCTGAAAATGCGTCCCTATTTTTTTTTTCAGTTGTACACCTTGTTTTATATGTGGCCTGTTCTTTATTGTGGTTTTGGTCGATTAAATGTTGTTATTGCTATCAATTGAATTTGTCTTTTGGTTGTCTTTGGAATGGGATTTGAGATGCTGTTTATATTCCATGTCTTGCTTGCGTCTATAGTACAGTTTACTTTGATAAGATTGATTTCTCTCAGGCGATGGTCATGCATGTCATAATTTGTTTGTTATTTATTTGTATATCTGCTAAAAAATCTTCTTTACGAGAGAGGTGTTTTTATATTTATGTTTTTCTTCCTCCTGTTTCTTCCCTATTGTTCTTGTAATTCAAGGTTTATGTGTAAAAAAGACGTGAAAAATATCTTTAGAATGGGGTTATTTTTCACTAAGATTATATTTCTGTGTCCAACAGACTTTAGAAAAAAGAGATGGGGTTGTCTTTCACCAAGCTTTTCAGCCGGCTCTTTGCCAAGAAAGAGATGCGAATACTTATGGTGGGTCTTGATGCTGCTGGTAAGACGACTATACTGTACAAGCTGAAGCTGGGAGAGATTGTTACAACCATCCCCACAATTGGTATGTTTCTGGTTTTGTGATAAAATTGCAAAGTAGCCCTATTTATTTTTGCGCCTCCATTGGCCTTATGTGGTCTTTTGTTACGTTGCGGTCTTCACATTCTTAATGGACTTATATGGTATAGTAAAGCTACATAGATCAATTCAAAGATGTTTAGCTGAGAAGCATGCACATTTTCACATGGTATTAATGTTGGACACTTTGAACATCGACACTTTTTGGACATATATTCTATGCCTCTCGAATCTTGACAGAATCATATTTAAACGCATAAATATAAGCTTTTGATCGCTCAGCCAACACTTCTTAAAAACTTGTCAACATGTAGCCAACAAAATGAGGCATGGATTTCTTTTAGCATTAAAAATGTATTATTGTTACCAATATATGTATAACTTATTAAGGAAAAACAAGAAACATGAAGATTTATATCAAAAGAGTGGCATGAGAAGATGAAAATAAATATGATTATTTCATATGCTTGCGATACTTTGTTTTTGTCGGCATATATGGTTGTTGATCATTATAACATAGGTCACTATTAATCAATTTATTTGATAAAAGTTCTATCTTCTTACAAACACAAATTTAAGATTTACTTTTTTCTAAGATAATGGTTGTTGTTTGTTTTATAAATTCATATACTCTTGATAAGTTGTACTGAATTAGATGTAAGAGTATGTATTTATTTGTTGTCGTGTAGTTGTCTTATTTGTCTGTGTTTGTTTCATAGTTACAAGAAATCATCATACCCTTGGCGATCCACAATTTAAGTACAACGATCCCAAATGGTGTGGTTCACGATTTAGATCACTTAAATATCTAATCTCAAATTGTAATACTAACCCTAAATCAATTTGTTTTGGAACATGTATCACAAATATAAAATAAATAATAGATGATTATGTGTGTAAGGATGCATAATTATATATATAATTTAAATAATAGGAAATCGAGCACAAATGTAAGATAAATAGTAATTGGCAATGTTTATCTATCTATCTATCTATCTATATACTATTAATAAAAGTACCTTAGCATGAAAAACTTTTGATACATTATTTTACCTGATAAAAAATTTTAAATATTACATTATCCTTTCATAGTTAACTCTCTAAATTACTATTATATCCTTATGTGTTTAAATTTCTAAATTACCCCTAACATCTCTTTTAATTCTCTATTCTTTATGTATAAATATCAATATGTATGAAACTTTCTAAGTGAATATGTTACTCTTAAAAAATAAGTATTGATTGGAATATTGACAAAAATACATAAAGTTAAACCCTATTCTTTATAAGCAATATTGTTATTTTATTCAATGAATTATAAGTTAAAACTTGAATAAAATGAATTTTAAATAAAAGTATCTTAGCATGAAAGACTTTTGATTCACTATTTTACTCTTATAATAACTTTTAAATACCACATTATCTCTCCATAGTTAAATATTTAAATTACCATAGTATACTTATGTGTTTAAATCTCTAAAAGTACTCCTAATATCTCTTTTAATTCTATATGTATAAATATCAATATATATGAAAATTTTTAATGGACTATATTACCCTTAAAAAATAAGCATTAATTAGAATATTAACAATTATTGTTATTATATTCAATGAATTATAAGTTGAAACCAATGTTATCGGAGCCAGACCGGTCATCGAACCGCCAAGGGGACCGGGTCAATGGTTCAACCGTTGGGTCAACTGGTCGGACCGGTCGTGTAATAAAAAAATATATATAATAATTATAAAATATAATAATTTAACGAAAAAAATATAAAAAAATATCTAAAATACATATAATTTGTCATAAAATTTATAAAATTAAGTAAAGAAACACTGGTACCAAATATCAATATCAAAGTTTAATTTTAAAGCGCAATAACTATCAAAATTTGCACCTTCACGCAATAACAAATTAGCAAAATAGAACGACACACAACGCAAACAAATAAGCCCTAGAATTCCAGACAATTAACAAGAGCAAACAAATGAGCCCTAGAATTCCAGACAATTGACAATGGCAGCTTAGATTTATGTCTACATGCTCTGAACATGCGAAGAACATATAGCAATAAATATATTTCTAACCTTCGTTAGTATAGCGGATCAATCAATATCTGTTCTCTGATCTCTATGTGTTAATTCTTGTATCAGAGACTTGTCATAGGAACTAATTGCTAAGTTGATAGGCGAAATTCTAATTATTTTTCTGCAAATAGATCGTGATTAGTCTCCAGGAGGGAGGGAGGGACAGAGAGAGAGAGATGAGTGCAAAATCTATTTTTATTCACCGCCTATTGGTTCTCCTGTATGTCCTGAGTTGTCGCTTGAGTAGAAATCTCGACTGGAGTAATAGAAGAGCAGCACTATCGCCTGAGCAGAAATTCGTGGACGCCTGAGCAGCTTTGTCGCTTGAGTGCCGCCTGAGCAGTGAGCAGCACTGATCGGTCTCTAGTGATTGCACTTAGGGCAAAATCAAAATGCCCAAACCCAAAAAAAAAAGAAGCAGATTTTATGACTTCAAACCGTTCGGTTTTCTCCAAAAACCGTTCGGTTTGGCGGTTTTTACCCGATTCTCTTTCTTATGCGGTTTAATTAGCCAACCGGACCGGCTAAGGTCCCCGGTTCACGGTTGAACCGGTCCGGTCCGGTTCTGATAACACTGGTTGAAACCTAATCAAATGAATTTCAAAATGAATTATTTTTATCTTTTTTTCTTATAGTTAGGCCAACGAATCATTGGGAATAAATAATTTTTTTTTGAATTCTATAGTGTAATATGAGCGATAAAAACGTAATTTTTATAAATTTAAGATGATATTTAATTTAGGTACACATATCCTTAAAATTTTTTATATATGAAAATTATTTACGTGCAACGCACGTGGTGTATTGCTAGTAGATCTATTCTCTATATGATTTCATATAGTAGTAAAGCGATCTATATAAGAGTTCCAAACGAATTGCGACCATGAAAACCTTACTAGCTAAGCATATTTCCATCCCATCATATACCTAAGAAAGTTTCGTACTATGTATTGTACCTGTACTACAATNCAATTATAATATCTATTAAAATAAAACTAAAAAATTAAACAATGGATCAATGAACACAATATCTTTTAACTTCAATTGGACCAGTCATGGAATAAAAAAATAAAAAATATATATATAATAATTATAAAATATAATAATTTAACTAAAAAATATAAAAATATATCTAAATTACATATAATTTGTCATAAAATTTATAAAATTAAGTAAAGAAACACATGTACCAAATATCAATATCAAAGTTCAATTTTAAAGCAATAACTATCAAAATTTGCACCTTCACGCAATAACAAATTAGCAAAATAGAATGACACACAGAGCAAACAAATAAGCCCTAGAATTCAAGACAATTAACAAGAGCAAACAAATGAGCCCTAGAATTCCAGACAATTGACAATGGCAGCTTAGATTTATATCTATGTGCTCTAAACATGCGAAGAACATATAGCAATAAATACATTTCTAACCTTCGTTAGTATAGCGGATCAATCAATATCTGTTCTCTGATCTCTATGTGTAAATTCTTGTGTTAGAGACTTGTCATAGGAACTAATTGCTAAGTTGATAGGCGAAATTCTAATTATTTTTCTACAAATAGATTGCGATTGGTCTCCATGAGGGAGAGAGAGAGAGAGAGCGCAAAATCTATCTTTATCCACCACCTACTAGTTCTCCTGTATGTCCTGAGTTGTCGCCCGAGTAGAAATCTCAACTGCAGTAACGAAAAAAACAGCATTGTTGCCTGAGCATAAATTCGTGGACGTCTGAGCAACTCTGTCGTTTGAGTGCCGCCTGAGCAGTGAGCAGCACCGATCGGTCTCTAGTGATTGCACTTAGGGCAAAATCAAAATGCCCACACCCATAAAAAAAAAAAGTAGATTTTATGACTTTAAACCGTCCGGTTTTCGATTTTTTCCAAAAATTGGCAAGTTTGACAGTTTTTATCCGATTCTCTTCATTATGCAGTTTAATTAGCCAACCGGACCGGCTAAGGTTCCGATTCACGGTTGAACCCATCCGACCAACCGATCTAGTCCAATTCTGATAGCATTAGTTGGAATTGACCACCCACATCACACCCCCATGTAATGATGCTTCTATTCTAACCCATTGAAAAAAAGTAGAAATTTCAATGGCTAAAATAATAGTCTGCCAAATATATATGTATATATATATATATATATATATATATATATATATATATATATATATATAT